CGAGCCCTGTCTGGGGTCACAGCCGGATGCACCCCAGGTTCAGGGGGCTGCGGGTCAGGAGTGAGGGGCACCAACAGGGCTGTGGGGTGAAGGGGGCTGTGGGTCAGGGACTGAGGTGCACCATTACTCCCCCAGGTATGGCTGGGGTCTCCCCCACTGGTGCTCCCCCCAAGGGCTGCCATAAGCACTCCCCCACCTCAGCCCCTGCATCCCCATGCCCCGCAGGTCCAGGTCATGGCTCTGAGCCAGCGCTGTCTGCTGTACCTCAAAGTCCAGCTCTTCATCTTCAACCTCATCTTCTGGGTGAGCGGGAGCTGCAGGCTTCTCCCAACAGTGCCCTGGTGGCAGGGGTTGGCAACATCCCTGGGGGTGCTATGGGGGAGACCTAGCTGGGTGTGTGTGTGCAGGGGAGTGGTACTGGGCTGGGATCCTGGTGGGCACTGACCTTGCTATGCCCCCGCCCAGCTGGGGGGCTGTGGGGCGCTGGGCGTGGGGGTCTGGCTGTCTCTGTCCCAGGGGCGGTTCTCGGCACTGTCACTGTCCTTCCCGTCCCTGGGCATCGCGGGGCTCTTCCTGGCTGCCGGCGCTGTGGTCATGGCTGTGGGCTTTGTGGGCTGCCTGGGAGCCAGCACTGAGCACCGTTGCCTTCTGCTTACGGTATGAGGTGGGGGCTGCCCTGGGATGGGGTGGGTCATGGGAGCATCCCCTGCTGGGGTGCATGATGTCCTATAGGGGTGAGGTTGGGGGGCCAGCTGGGACCCTGTCTGTCTCAGAGGGTCTGATCTGTCTGGCTTTCCTCTCCTCAGTTCTTTGTGATTCTGGCTGCCATTGTCCTGTTGGAGCTGGGGGGCTTCGTGGTTTTCTATGCTTGCCGGGACAAGGTAAGGGCCCCCACTGCACCCCCTCCAGACCCCTGCCCCAAAGTCTCCACCTTCACAAGCCCCTTTCTCCTGACCCACCACAGCCTCCCATTCAGGGCCTCCACAGACACCCCCCACTTCTCAGTTCGACAGATATGCCCAGGATGACCTGAAATCAGGGCTGAGGCGCTATGGGACCCCTGGAGACCCTGCGCTCACCCAGGCCTGGGACACAGTTCAGACGGAGGTGAGACTCCCCCTACCCCAACCAGTGCCTGCTCCACAGTGCCCCTGCTGGGGCTGTCACTGTGGGGTGGGGGTTCTCCCTCCCACTCCTTTAATGCCCACCCCCCCAGTTCCGGTGTTGCGGGGTGCAGAACTTCACCGACTGGTTCGAGATCCAGAATGCCACGGCCCTGCCTGAGTCCTGCTGCCTGGAACATGGCACACCCTGCCACAGCCCCACAGCCACCTGGTGGAAGGAGGTCAGTCCCCATAGGGGGCATGTGGCTTCGTCATGCCTGGGCTGGGCAAGGTGGTTTGTGCCCCCAGAAACGGCCCGGGGCAAGGAGCTGGGTGGGGCGGGGGGTCCTGTAGGATGAGATCACATAGAGA